TCTGYCTTCCCCACGAGCTGCCAGCCAAGCGAGAGGAGACCCGAGTGGGAGAGACTTGGTGAAATGAGGGGGACAAAGTTGGCTCCACAGGGAAGTGGTAGGCAGCTCCCAGCTTTTAAATAGTAAATCTAGTAGGCCACAAGCTGCCTCTGGCCCAGGTTTTCACAGTGTGGGGCTGAAGACAAAAGTTGGAGTCTAATTCTCCTTAGTGCTGTTCTCTAGATGCACATCTGTGGCTGCAGTTGGCTGTTTTCAACGTATTTTTGAACTGGGCAAGAAAAGTCATGCATTGATTGAGCAACAATCTCCTGGGTCTGAGGTCAGAATAGATAAGGCATCTCTCCACCATGCATTGAATTGTGCTATAAAGAATAAAACAGAGGTCTGGGCCTGGCTTGCCAAGCCGTGCTGCTCTTTATTATGCAGGCTGGGAGTGCGGGCCCACCAGCTCGGTGAAATTAAGCTGTAGGCCCAAGGCTGTGTTTTATTGCAGGTCTTATTAGGCTGGATCGCAACACACTGACATGGTTGTATTGCTTTTGGAAATGAGTTCGCTGGCCTCGAGTGAGAGCCTGGAAGTCCTTAGCACTGCCTTGTACCCTGCAGGCCCCAAGCCAAGAGGTCAGGAGGCTTTGGTGGTTTGTTTCCTCTCTAAATATAAAATCGAGCAGGGGGCTGGACACTTTTGTATTGCTGTGTTTTTATTCAYGGGTCAACTTTATTGATAACTGTGGAGCTCAGGGTAAATGAAAGCAGAACTCACACTATACTCCTTGCTCCAAAAACAGGAACACATAAATTATAGTTGATTATTCCCCCGAGTTGTCATTATGAGTTAGTTCCCTTCGAAGGATGAAAACYGAAATGGGTCATTAGAAGAATTGCAGATAAACTGATTGCCTTTGCAGATGAGCTTTCAAGGGATGGTTTATGGTTGGGGCAGTGCTGATGGAGACGAAGCAGTTTGCATGAGAAGACATTTGGCCAAACCTCTGGAATAAGATTATGCAGCATCAGCCCAAAATGTGTCTGGCTTCTTGCAGCATTCCTTAATTTAGTACTTTCTGCTCCGATGTTAAATAGAGAGGTGTTGATATTTTATATATACATGAATTTTCGTCTGGCCACTTGTCCTAGGGATGAAAGATGAGTTTATAGCAAAAACGATCTGTAACAAGAACTTCTTCTGCAAAGTCTATCCAGAAAGGGAGAACTCGGAGAATGTGGTGCTAAAATTGGTYCTGGCAAAATTAGACTTTGTTGCAGCTGGTTTGCAAACTTTTTTTGTAACTTTTATAGTCTCAAACACTCCTAGATATTTAGAGGTCTGGCTCCTTTTTTGTGTGTCAGCAAGATAGGTGCCTAACTGGAGGGTGAGCACTTCGCAATTTAAGGAATATAAGCCTTAGTCTCACTTCTTTTGTACTTGATGGAGGTGGCATAACAGTAAACACACTGAAGAGTGTAAAGTGCTGAGATGCCACAGTAATGAGGCCATTACTGAATCTGAGCATGTAATTAAATGCAAAATGTTTGCCTTCATAATGAGTAGATGCTCTCACACATACATTCCTCAGCAGATACACAAGTTCGTCCCTGCTCTACTTCCCCTAATCTTCCCATGCATCCCAGGATGGGTTTAGTACAGCCAACCGAAGCTGGGAATGCTCTGTCCTGAAGGAGCAAGGTGGACCACAAGGTGAGCTAGGAAGCATTTGCCAATGAGACGCCTAGAAAGATGCTGCAGGAGCACAAGGGGTGAGCCACAGTTTAAAAATGCATTTAGTGAAGCAGAATAACAGCTCTGCCTCATACGCACCAGCTCTGCAAAGTAAATTTCAGCTGCTAAATATATTACCCACACCTACTCTTTTATTTCTGTTCAGGCAAAATTGATTCTTTTGGCTGGTAAAATACACCCAGTGTATTTGAGAAGAAAGGCAGCCTGGTTCTGCTGTAACCTGCACCAATTTTGTGTCTCTGCTTACATGGGGATGACCCGAGGCTCTTGGTACATGCTGTACATGGAGTTTAGTCTCTTTCCAGAATGCATGTTCTTACCTTATCCCCATGACAGCTGCAGAAACCCTACTGACCCTGATGCTTTGCAAACAGGGTCTTGACACAGCATTGCATAACAGATTCTGATACATATTAAAGAAGGGGGAAAAAATCTGATTTTTATCCCTGTTGGTTTAAATTGTCATCTGTGCAATCCGTGGGTTTTGTTAATGATAGTTGTGTTACTCCTTGCTTGCTAAAGTTGAAGCCTCAGTCAGGGATGTGACATTCTGGACTTTACGGGTGCAAGAAATCAATCTGTTCATCACCTGGAAGATTGATAGGGCCATCCAGCATATATCCTATGAGGTTTGAGCTGTGGTACTTTAATGTTAAAATCTAAATCATCAGAAATGATGGTGTAGCCTGGTAAACGAGGTCACTGCTTATGCCRTATACTTCGTTGGTGGTATTGGCTATGTTTTGGTATGCTCTACAGGGAGACTGCTGAAATGTGTGTGTCTGTGATTAGGTGTGATGAATCCCACCAGAGTTCTTAATGCTGACAGCAGCAGGAAGGATGGATGATAGGAGGGTTTACTTAGAGGGAAGTTTAGACTTCAGTGCTTTCCACATCTTCTCAGAAAACTAGAGGCTTGTGTTGGTTCCCTCAAGTGGGGTGGGAAGATGAGCTCAGRAAACACTTCATCTGCTGTTGGGGAAGTCCCATGCTCAGATGGGATGGCACGCTCTTTTGGGAGCTGGGAAGAGGGGCAGGAGAACSTGGTACCTGTTACCTGACCTTATCAACTCTTCTCAGCCGTGTTTCCTCCTCTGATCCCAACAAAAAAACCCATTCAACTCTCATCTTCAGCAGAACAGCTCTCAGAGGGTGGTGGGGAAAGGGAAAAAAGACCAAGGATGTATCTAGGGAATAGCTAAGGTATTGGGCCAGGAGCAAATAGAGAGGTCCTCCTCCCATGAATTCCCATGTTCCAGAACTCGCCTCTCCTGCGTGTCAGCAGAAACAARCTCTTTCAGCTTTCTGCCTGCAAATGGTTCGGAAAGCGAATTCAAATTATGCAGAAAATGTGAGATTTCAATTTGAAAGAAACAAGCTGTGAAATTTAAGCAGGGAATTGGCCTTATTTAGCTGATTGTGTTTCGAAATCAACCTGTCYGAAAATTTTTCAGTAATTTGAAACCTGAAACCTCTCATGATGGAGGAAAAAAAAAAAAAGAAAAGAAAGAATACTTTAAAAATTCATAAACTCTCTATTCTTCCCTTAATTTTAATTCCAGGAAGTTGTGCAGCAACCTCTGACCAAAACTGCCCCATGAAGAATACTTCTAATGCACGTTATGGTTTGTCAGTGCAAAGCATCATCTCCACAAGTATTGCAGGAAATTGCCTCTGTTAGTTATCTTGCTTGGTTTCACATTCGGTTGAGCTTGGAGAGTCCTCTATTGTGCTTTTCAATTCTGTGGTCTGAAGCTGTAACAGAAATCAATCCCTCAGTGTCACCCAAATTGAATATTACTGTGGGAGCTGGGTCTTTACCTCTTGGTAAAGTGCCTAGAGCCTGAATTCCACTTTGGGTTTAAAGTCATCCTTTCTTTCCCGGCTRCAATCAGCAAAATATTTCATGTTAGAATGAAGCCTGAAATTGCTTTCCTTCTCCGTCTAACAAGTAGGTCTTTGTTGGCAAGATTTGCTTCGTCTCCGATGTTACGTCGGGTGCCAAATTGGCACCACCAGCTAATGACTGGGCTGAACTTTCTCTGCGGTAACTCGATAGCTGTACAGCTGTGCAGGCTCTCAATTTGCTCCTCGATTGTCAGTCTCCTGACAGCTTTTTTAGTGGAACAGTTTGAAGAGCGGAGAGCCCTGCTTTTGAGACACAGAAGTGTTTTCACACCTGAAGTGTAATTTCACACCTTGTGTTGCTCAGCAGATAAGTGCGTAAAATAGCACATCAATCGGGAACAGCAAAGGATAGACATGCTGCAGACAAGAGACGGTGGCTTGTTATTTATTTCCTGTCTTCAGCATGCTCTGAAATAGTAATTGCTCTCAAACTCGGGTGCAGATTTACACAGGGTTAGAATGGGGCTTTTTCGAACCAAGTCATCAGCACAGAGCAAGGCTGAAAGCTGCCCTGAGCTGAGTGCAGGGAGAGTGGTGCCACAAGGCTTTGCCTGCAAATTAATAGTGAAGATGAGATAGTTCATGCAGGAGGCGGCAAGAGTTTCACGGTTGAATTTACTGGAAGTCTGAAATGGACCATCCCTTTCTTGTATTGCTTCATCACTGATACCTCTTTTCTTGGCTCAAATTGTGAATTAAATTGACCTCGAGTCCAACGAAGAAGTAAGATGAGAATTCAGAATATGCCCTGAAGCCTTAGTGTGTGTCAGATCATTTCACTCTATGTGCAGGGTTCCTCCTTGTCTTTTTCAGGCCTTTTTTTTGTTTGTTTGTTTACTGTTCCAAATAGCAGGTCATAAAGGCAAGGAAAATGCTGAGAGGTAAGTGCAGCCAAGGGAAGCCTTGGTAAGACAGCTCCTGTGAAGCTGTGTTGTGAGGAGGAGGAGAAGGTGCAGAAAAGTCACTGGGTGTGAAGAATCCACAGAGATGCTTATAGTTTTGACTAGTTTTTGACAGATTTGCTGGGTTTGAGAGCCAGATTTCCTGCTTTTTATACACACACACACACACATATATATGTATATACAAGAGAGTAAGGGCAAATCACACATTTCACTTTCCTTTCTTTCTTCTCTCTAGCTAAATATGAGGAAATCCATGAGGTGTTTCACCTGTTGCATGATTTTCCCCTGGAGAGCAGTCCAGTTCTGCTCTCATTTAATGCTTATGCAGACAAAACTGTTGTGCTCGGAGTTCTGAGGGTAGTTTCTTGACTGCTTGGTGCTTTCCTTGAGTCTGTGGCCCATGCCAGCCATTTTAATTCCTCTCTTTTGTCCTTGTTTTGTCCAAGACACCTACGGAAAGCTCTGTCTGCTCAACTCGGTGGGCCAGGAGATGTCTCGCTGCAAGACCTCCATCCGTCGAGGACAACCCAACCCTGTCTACAAGGAAACCTTCATTTTCCAGGTTGCTCTCTTCCAGCTCTCCGACGTCACGCTCATGATTTCCATATACAACAGACGCAGCATGAAGCGTAAGGAGATGATCGGCTGGATTTCTATGGGTCAGAACAGCAGCGGGGAAGAAGAACAAGATCATTGGCAAGAAATGAAGGAAACGAAGGGGATGCAGGTGTGCAGGTGGCACACACTCCTAGAATCCTAATGGTTACACGACACCCTGCAGATCCTGAGACTGTGGGCTGCTCTTCCCTTTTCCCAGCCAGCTGGAACAACCGCTGAGCTCCAACAGGTCAAGTACCCTTGAGCCTGACTTTTCAGCCTCAGCAGTCATGGTGATTGTAGGTGGCAGGGCCTGGGAGGCATGTTTAGTTCTTGTCTTTCCAGGTGCTCCTGCCTTGTCCACATCCAAATAATTAACCACTGAGAAAAGCAGTGGGAGAATCTACAAAATCCCCTCTCTGGTCATTATCTTGCTCATTTTGTCATAGGTTCAGTCATCACAGACTGAAGCTGTTTTCTTCTGGAATAAATTCTCTTCCGTTTTTCCTCATATATTCATATTAATGATGTTTGCAAATATTCTTGACATGCAGATAGCTCATTAGTCTAGCCTGCATGCGCATCACACTTCCTCTCCCTTACTGTTGTGTTTCTAGGTCCTAGAAATAAGCATTTGATGCCACTTCAGACTGGATAATATATTTTTCAGGCAGCATGGGGAAGCACTACAGAATTCTCTGTCTACTTCTAAGTGCCTAGGCATTACTACTGTTCTCCTATACTAGCAGTGGATATTACTCATTAGGATTAAACACAACCAGTATTTTCAGTTAGGCATCCTGTGCACTGGTTAGCCTGTATTGCCGTAGGTTTGCATGAGAGAGAGAGAGCATCAATTTTGTGTAATGACCATACAGTGCATGTTTAGTTGCATACTTGAAGTTTATGGCTTCTGTCATCATGAATAACAAAGAAAAAAGACCAGAACAAGCTGCATGTCCACCTTTGTGCCTAAATGACTCTCTTCTGCATCATTGTTATGTTGTTATGACCACAGGCTACCCTGTTTAGTAAAAGTTCATTCAGAAAAGCATTTCTGCAAGTGTAACACGGAGAGGTTTTAAATATTGTTTCTCAGTGATTCAGCACAGCTCAGGTTGCTGAATCCCATATATCCTGTCCCATAAAATCTCCSGAGGATCTCAAAAGAGAGTATATTTGGCACTGAGCAGTAAATAGTGATTTTACTGTATCTTTTGGGTGAGCTGTTCTACAGACAARGAGCAGGATCCAGGGGACCATGTCCTAGAGGGACTGGGTGTCTTGGTCCAACATGAGAGAAGATTCCTGCCTTTACCTGGACACAGTGCAACGAGCAGGCCAGCTGGATGAGGTGAYGACATTTCTATATGGTCACTCTTGAGGCTATGATGTCTTTTTCCATTTTAATCTTTTTTCCTGCCTGTGCAAATTGAAGTCACGGAGTCAAGAGACACGGAGGGAAGTGGCCTGCTCGTTGGCTACTAAAAGTGTAGTGGGTGTTTGCTGTTGTGAAGCTGCACGTGACACAGCAGAAGACCTGAATCTTCTGGTGCARTGAATGATTGTAGGTAGGCAGGAAGGTGCCAAGATCTGCAAATACCATTAGCTGCTCAGTTTTCCATGCCCCACATTTTCTAGGAGAGGACTGGCATTTTGTCATTCATATGGATGATAGTGAGGTGCAAGAAACATCTTGCTGAAAAGCTCCTTCTGTACTGGACCATTTTGTGGGTTAGTTTTGCTGTTTACTGAGACCAGGCACCAATTCTACTCCCCACTGTACCACAACAGCCTTGTTGCCTTCTTCACTGCTGCTCTTTTCACTTASCCCTCTGAACTCAACATCTTTTATYGCAGTGAGACTGGTGGGATCCTGCACAGGAGGGTTGTCCTCCACTGCCTGGGTAAGCTGGTAAAATATCTGCTTTGCACTGCCAGAGCTTTGCACCACAAAGCAGGATTTAACCCAGATATACCTGCACAAACAAATGTATTTTTGATTGCACTGTTAAAGCTGCTGAATTACCAACAGGAGAGAAAATGAGTACTTGGGGCTTAACCAGCAAAAGAGGTCTGATTATGTGTTTCTTTATCATGTACTTTTATTCTAGGAGGGAAAAAAATCACAGGAAACTGCCCCATTCAAAAGGTTCATTGGCTGATTTCTGTTATGTTTTCAAACTTCTGAATCCTTTTTCCCTGAAATTYACAAAATGTATATGCAAGGGTTTATAAGCAATTTATATTATCACAGATAATATATATGAGATGTCTGTGTATAATAAACTAATTGAAATTCTCTTCATAACTTCTTGCATCTGCAAAGTGTTGCTTGTGCTTAATATAGTGATTAGCTGAAGGAGAGGCATACGTTGATAAGGTGTTTCCGAAATGAGCTGGAGAAAACCCAATTTCATAATAGTGTGGTTTAAAAAAATATTCCTGGAAAAGATCATTCTAAAAAGCAATGAGGTAAACTCTTTTTTAACTCCCATACCATTTTGGTATCAAAATCTGTCCTGAAGATGCAGCATAAGGGAACTGAATTTTGAAAAGACATTTTCAGTGTAGATTATAGGAAATCAAAGGAAAGGAGGAGAAAATAACTCAGAGCAAGTTGGTGTCTGAGCACATGTTCCAGCTTCGCTCCCAGATGGAAGCAGGTCACTGCATCGTTGCAGCAACKTTTTGGCCTGATGTTTTATGAGAGGAATTTGGAGGGAGAGGGGATGAGGCAAGGGGGGACCGGTGCCCTTTCAGAGCTGCTGTTAGACCTGTTAGCTCATGCAAGCCTYGAGCAACGTGTTGCTGAGGTTCATTACGTTCCCACCGAAGCACGGAGGGATTGAGGAGTCCTGGCGTGGAGGCTGGAGTGGGGAGCTGGTGCCTRCTGGCTCGGTTTGGGGATTTTTGTTGCTTTTGTGATCTGTTTTCCTTCACGGTTTGGGCAGTTTGTGAAACAGGACGGTTTTCCAGCAGCTCTCCTGTATTCCAAAGCTCCATTGATGGACTGAATTAGTCACTGCTAATATTGATTCAGGCCGGGCTTGTGCTCATGGTCTTATTATGTAAATACCACTGCCCTTTCAGTCACCGCTTTAACCCTTTGCTTCCCTTAGAGGGCCTGAGGAGACTGATTTTCCAGGAATATTCCTTGGGGACTGTGACTCTTACCCAGTGCTCCAGATGGGGGAATTGCCATGGGCAGAGGCAYGGGATGCTTCCAGAGCCAGAAGTCAAAGGCTGGGAGTGCTTGGCCACGTGTGAGTGCAGATTTCCTAATGCACGTGCGTTTTCAAGGATAACTCATCCCCTGYTGGCTTATTTGAATTTTCTTCTCTTAAGAGGAAAAGAAAACCCTCTGAACCCACAAAACCAATGAGTGGGATGAAGCTGATTGCACTGACACAGTCTTCCCAGCCAGAATACTGTGGGCAAGTGCTCYGGAAACATCTCCAGATCTTGAGTAGCATCTTTTAGCGAGCTGCAGTCTGTTCCTGCCTCGGTCTCTCTGCAGCCCACACTCCCCTGTCCTGCTAAGCACTCCGCTGTTTTATTTTTTGTTTTTAATGCAAACTGGCACCAGAACAGGATGATCTCACAGTGTCTATTTTCTCTGCAATGGTGCTGATTTTCGAGTGATGCCCACAGAAACGAGTACATTTTAGCCCACTGAGCTGCAGCTATAGCTAACACAACCCTCCCCTTGAGAAGGCTTCCTCTGGGCTGCCTGATCCATGATTTGTTTGGGRTTGCTTTTTACTGGCATTTCTAAGTGTGTGGGCCTTGCTGTGGCCTGCTTCCCCTCATCAGCTCCTATGTCCTGGCGTGGACACACAGGCCTCGCAGGTGTTTTCCTCCTGAGGAGCAGCTTGGTGCTTTACATCATCGACTGATCTTCAGTCGGGAACATTTTTAGCTGTTCTTGAACTCCGAGAAGTGAATGCTGCCAGCTGCCATCGATCGCTTCTGCAGCGTGAAGCCGACGGTGGCAGCTTGGCGGAGGAGCAGGCGTTTCCTCCGGTGGCAGTTCATTTTCTCCTTCGTTTAAAGCCGACGATGACCTTGGAGCTCGTGTGCCTGGAGAGTTTGCTTTCCGCTCCCACATTTTTCATCATTTTTAATCTGTGTGATGGCTGCGCTTCATCCCTCTCAGCTACCTCCTGCCCTTCAGCAGAATAGATGGACAGAAAGGCAGAGCAAAGGCCTTTCCCTAATGCATTATCCCCCTCAAGGGGACCCAGCTTCTCCTGGAGTCATTTCCAAGGTCTGATATCTATTTTCAAGACCTTGCCTTTGTGCACTCTCSTCTCCTTGTAGAGTGTGAACGTTGCTGATGGGCTGCAAGACATAATTGTTTACAAACTAGTGACACCCGTTCAGCTCGATGTGGAGAGAGGTTCGATGCAAGAAACAACCTGCCTTTCATCTGCTGCTTTTTCTTCTTTTCCGTGATCAATGAAAGAGCTATAGAGCCTAAAGGAATTAACAGGAATTAATATGCAGGAACATTCCCTTTCCAGTTTGCCAAGTGTGATGTTTGTAACTGCGGGTTGAGGAAGGGAAAAAAAAAAATTAGTTGGGGTTTGTAGAGCTCACACTTTGAATGAAGCAGGTTTTTCCATTCAGCCTGTGCAAGTATGTCCTCATACCCCTGACAGCAGTGCTGTCTTCAGGCTGCTCCTTAGTGGCAAATGCAGACAGAAGGTGAGAGATTCTGAAGCTTGGAAGGATAGACAGGGTAAGTCAGGAGAGCTGCTGGGGGGGCGTTATTTGCAATTTACTGCAGATTTAACAAGTTGTGGTGCAAGAAATAGGAGTGACCGGCAGTGTTGGGGCCAGCTCGGTGCATTTGTGCTGCTGCAGAGCTGGGTCTGCTCTGCCCATGCCCCAGAAAGGAGCACAGCTGCTTTCAGTGGCATCGGGCCTGAGCTGAAACCTGGCTTCTCAGCATGATTTCCTCGCTCCAGATCCGCTGAAGTCATCCAGTCTCTCTTTTTTTTTTTTTTCCCTGTGTTTTTTTTTAATCCCTTCAACGCAGAGCGAGCTTATGTCTTCCTGCAGCCTACGCTGAGGGCCTGAAGAAATGAATGTGTAAATATTTTGTCTCTCACAGCAGCCCAAGGTCATCTTTCTGGAACAGCAAACAGGCACAGAATCCAAAGAAGATCAGTCCGTCATGTGAGTAAGGTTAGCATCTGCAGTTACAAATGACAAAGGCTATTAATCCTCATGCTGTAATCCCCAAGCTGTTTGCCAGCTGGCAGCAGGAAGATGTTCCTGCTCAACCCACGCAGTTATCCATGTTTTTTCACCTTTATGAAGCAGATACAGGTCAATACCGTAGCCTGGATAAAGAAGTCGGTAGATACCATTCATCTCTTCTAGTATTACGATGCCTCTCTTCTCGCTGCAGTACAAAAGAGGGTGTAACAGGAGAGCTGCAGGCTGTGCTCTGGCTGCTGCTCCCCCAAAATAGAAGCTTGGAGGTGTGATTTGTTCCCCTGCAGCCCGGGTTTCTCATGGGAGGATGAATTTCGAGGTCTGGCCACAGACCCAAACATCTTAAATAATGCTGTACCCCTAGAGAGGTTTTACCCACTGGTGAGGGGAAACCCAGTGCTTGCATAGGGCAGATAAAAGCCTAATGTTCAGATATTTTTGATCCTCCTTTGTGAACCTGCATAGGGATTTGGGCACTTGCCTTGGCACAAGGACGTGCAAAACCTGAATCCTACAGTTTGCCACTGATGAAAAAGAAAGCAGATTGTGCCAACTGGCAGTGGGACAGGTAGGCTGCGGTAACTGGTATGATCTTGCACAGCAAAGAGCTGAGTAGCTGCCCCATTGCATCCCGTAAGTGATTAGGCAGCTGAGCTTAGTGCAACAGAGAGCCAAAAGCCACTGAGAGGAACAAGGAAGATCAATTCAAACTTGCCAATTGCTCATTGCTTCGGAAAATTGGAAGTGGTGCCTTGGGTCTTATTTAGCAAAAATGCAGTTTAACAAAAATTATGGCTCCTGGAGAACCTGCAGGTGCCAAGAAGTGAGGATTTAGCCTCCTGGCTCATAAATTTCCTTGCGGTTGTAGCAGATGAGCATCAAACAGCAAGCAGGCACGCTGGAGGCACCTCAAACCCAGTGTAGCCTGACCTGGTGGAGTGGTGAGGAGATGAAGACCTGTTCCTGAATGGGGGTTTTGCACAACGGTGTTCAAAGATGGACAGTGTCCTTGACGGTCTGTAAGCCAAAGGCCGGGCCTGTGGGTCTGGCACTCCTGGGATGGAGGTGTTTGAATGTGGGTCCAACTAGATGCAAAAGCACCACCTGTCAGTGCTACCAACCCAGAGCTGGTGGTGGCTGGCAAGTTAGGTACAACTCAACTCCACCATCATAATTTTGACCCCAGGGACAGCTTGGGCTTCTCGTGGCTACTGTGGTCAAAATCCTGCTCCAAACAGTGATATGGGGGGTTTCTTCAGCACTTTGCAGTAGACTGTAGCACTTCTGAGACATTTTACCAAAACCTTTATCTTAACCAAAACACCCTGAGAAATTTGACACGGTACTTAAGTGCATGAGGAGATACAGAAGGAAAAAAAAAAAGGGAAGTTAATGTCCCCAAAAGAGCTTATGGAGGAACATTGTGTGCAACGTAGAGCAAATATAATACTTCATATTGTAACCAACACACACCCAAACTTCCTACTCCCTTGGCTTCCATGAACTAAAAAAAGAAAGCTGAATCTTCCCTGAATCCCCCTAGCGTGAGTCTCAGTCTCCAATGAAGATATTTTATCGTGCCAAATAATTCCTTTTCCATTTCTCAGACTCCTGAGAATATTGCAAATTTCTCTCCTCATTAGCAGCAGGGAGAAAAATCACTTAATTTTGCCAGCTGTCCTCATCCCAGTTGTGTCTCGTTAGCACTTGCCAGGTGCTTTCCTTTTCA